ATATAATTTATTGTGTTCTACTGTCTAACTCAACGTTTTTACAGTTTGGAATATTTTAATATAAGGAGGCATAACCACCCTATATTCTACCTTTCCACCAGTAGAGGTACACTTTGGTTCAAGTTAAATAATAATCTTATAATGAATTTTTAATAATGTCCTAATTTTATAGGCAAGATATTTGCATTTGGCTTTAAAGTTAAATAATGGTATCCTAATGAAATTTTAATAATCTTCTAATTAGCTGTATACACATAAAAAATGTTTTTTAGTGATTGTAATTTAATCTGCCAAGTACAGGTACTTAATGCTACAAACAACCTAGTGCAATAATATTGTAATTATGTGTATACAATTTAATTATTTAATAGTGCAGCAAGAATGCCTTTTTAGCTGTATATACATAAAAAAAAATGTTTTTTAGTGATTGTAATTTAATCAGCCAAATAATGTAAAGGCACTTGGCTTTAAAGTTAAAAATTAATATCACAATGAATTTTTTTATAATGTCCTAATTAGCTGTATATACACACAAAATGTTTTTAGTGATTGTAATTTCATCAGCCAATAGGCACTTTAAAGTTAAATTATGATATCCTAATGAAATTTTAACAATCTCCTAATTACTGTAGCTGTATATACATAAACAATTTTTTTAGTGATTGTAATTTAATCAGCCAAGTATAGGTACACTTGGCTTCAAGTTAAATAATAATCTCATAATGAATTTTTAATAATGTCCTAATTATCTGTATATACATAAAAAAAATGTTTTTTAGTGATTGTAATTTAATCAGCAAAATACTGTATAGGCACTTGGCTTTGAGTTAAATAATAATATCACAATGATTTTTTAATAAAGTCCTAATTAGCTGTATATACATAAGATATTTTTAGTGATTGTAATTTCATAGGCCAAATATTGGCATTTGGCTTTAAAGTTAAATAATGATATCCTAATGAAATTTTAATAATCTTTTAATTAGCTGTATACACATAAAAAATGTTTTTTAGTGAGTGTAATTTAATCTGCCAAGTACAGGTACTTAATGCTACAAACAACCCAGTGCAATAATATTGTAATTATGTGTATACAATTTAATTATTTAATAGTGCAACAAGAATGCCTTATTTATATTTATTTTTTTTACATTATGTTGGTTTCCAGCATATCATATGTATACATTCAAGCATTTTTATTCATGATTGGCAATGTGTTGTATATTTTAGTAATCAGTTACAGTATTATGTAAATAGTTTATTGTGTAAATCATATTTAAATAATAATAGAAATTTAGAACCTGAGACTTGTTGCTTTGTTTGTACATGGCGTCTCTAAACAATAAGTTCCAGAAAGGCTGCATGGATTGCAGTATGTTTTTCTTTAATGTTTGTTTACATGTTTTTTGAGAAGCTTTTTTAACTACCTAAAATTTTTTATATATAATTTGACATACAAAAGAAACAATTCAAATTTTCACAAAATTTATTTCTTTTATTTATTTTAGGACAAAAACAAAAACAGACAATACAAAATAAGCAAGACTAGGCTTCAATAGCTAGCTGCCAGCAATTTAAAGCTAAAAATAACAAAACAAAAAAAATCCATAGTCAGCTAGCTGCCAGGGCTTCTCTCTTTAGAGATTATGCTCAACAGATAAATCCCCATTGGAAACATGTCATGCGCAGAAACCAAAAGACCACGGAATTGTTCAAGCGGAACTCTTAGCAAAAGTAGATTATAAAGATGTGGGTTAGGAAAAAAGTCCTGAGAAGGTCCATGAACCATTCATGCGTTAACTCAGACAGATGTGGGGTGAATCACTCATGCGGAACTCTGCTATCCAAGTTGTTGGCTCATTGTGTGCACTGTAGCGTGTACTTGTAGTTGTAATACAACGGCGGGGTAAAATTAGAAGATGTAACAGCAGTATGTTCCACTAACTTAAATTTCGTACTCAGTAAAATGTGTTATACCGAGCCGATTTTTATCATTCAAAAGTCGTTATGAGGTGCTAGTTAACGTTTAATAATATTTTTGGAAAGAAAATAGTGAAATTATGTCTCTAAATAGAAGTTCACATGCACCAGCCAAATATAGTAGAATGGTTTATCAGTGAGATTAATCTGTTAATAAACAATTTTAATTACTTGTGTAAATATAAAGATGTGGGTAACCCACATCTTTATATACGACTTTTCATGGACCTCGACCTGCTATGTACCGCATTTATTCGAATGAACGCCACGGGGTGTTTATTGTTCAGATGGGTTTTGAGGAGGCGTTTAATTACTGGTATTCGGAGAGGCGATTATTTGTTTGGGTGTAAAATGGATGCATAGGCCTACATTCCCATATAATCCCCCCTAAATTTCTTTTCTTTAATTCTTTTATTAAAAAACACATCGACATCGCAGCTTTACGGCACGATATTTACAATAAAACATTAATTTTATATTATTATATTATAATTAATAAAATTACAGAAAAACACGACATTTTGTTAAAAGATAACAATGCAAACATTAATTAATTACAAGATAAATAACAGAATAAACATCTAAAAATCAAATCTAACATTTAAATACATCAGACAATAAGTGAAAATGAAAAAAGAACATAGATAACATTAAAAAAAGTAATATTGAAAGACATTAAAAATGCAGTCTATAGTGCATAATGTTTAAAAGTGTTTTTACATGGCTTATAAAAAATGATGATGCTTCCATTTCATCCGTCCATAGTTACTTGGGGTGGGGGGGGGGAGCACGTTTATTCGAAGAAAAATAAACGCCCCTGGACGTTTATTTCAAATGGCTTTTTGGAGGGGTCTCGAGGGTGCGTTTGTTCAAAGCATGGGCGTGTAATTGTCTTTTTAAAACACGGATGGATCACATGATTAGCCCATGAAGCCTATGATAATCCTTTTGCATTTTAAATTATGACGTTTTGTTTTTTAACTGTGTTTGCTTTTTTTTTTGTTTTTTTTTAAAAGATGTATTGTCCTAATGTCAAAAAATCATAAAAAATAATTTTGAAATAAACTTGCTCATATTGCAATAGCATACAAATTGTGCATAAAAATTATTGAATTTAAAACATGTGTACCCTAATTTTTAAACCAAAAAATTATAATAAAAATAATAAAACACTTCCAGTGACTGGAAGTGCTTCCATCATTTTTTGCTCTAAACTGATGGGTAGACATTTTTTAAATACACTAATTTCTGTGTTCAAGTTGATAACTTGTATGTACTTCAAAATGGGCAACTTCATTTCAAAAAATATTTTTTATGATTTTTTTTGGTATTTAGCATGGGACAATATATCTTGAGTGGAGTTGAATAGCTCAGTGGTTAAGGTCCTTGCCTCTGACCTCAAGGTCCTGGGTTCAATTCCTATCACGACAAGACTTTTTCTCACACGACATAAAAAACTCCACTCCCTAAGCCTCATAAAGAAACTTCGCTGATAAAAGCATCATATTATTTCATTTATTTAAAGAGGGCCCCTGAATATCAGCCGACCTTGTTGGATACGCTGGAAGGGTCACCCTCTATAAATATGGTTTTAAAAAAAATTATCTTTTTTAAGGCCAGGCGAATTTTTATACGGCCAGATTTGTTGAATCTTGTCGTCAAAAAGGCCAAATGGCAACCCTGTGTGAGAAGTACTGAACTTTAACGTAATGAAGCTGCGAAACATAGACTGGTTCTTTCACGGCCTGACTCGATAATTTTTAGACCTAAGCACTGCAGTACAGAATAGATGTGATTAATTGTAGTTACCCGGTACGTTACGTAAGCAACTTGCGAAACATTGATTTTCGGTGGTTTTTGGCTGTTTTTTTTTTTTTTTTCGTTGTTATCCAATACCGGTATCCAGCCTTAAAAACTAGCGGAATGTGGTCGTGACATAGAAGCCCCTGTGTATGAGATATGAGCACATTCCTGCCAGCGGTTTCAGAGGAGATAGGGCAAGTTACGCGGTGGAGATTAGCAGAATTAATATACAGCTGGCGGGAAATGAGCTTTCCTGACTTTTAAAGTGTCCTTTAATAATTTTTAGCTCTTAAAATTTTAACTCTTCAAAATTAAAGGTTTTTCCCTATTGAAAACAGTCATGGATTTTTTTTTTCATTCTTATTACAGAATTATATTTATTACCGGTGTATATACAAAACAAATGAGCGGTTGCATACGTATATTTTTCATGAATCTGTGAACCCCAAAAAAGGGGGTCGGAGGTCCTCCCCCTGGAAAATTGTGATTTATAGATGGCGGAAATGAGCTTTTCCGACTTCTAATTTTCCCATTGTAACAAAAGAAAGTTTAGGTCATGTGTCCTGAAAAGGTACGGTAGGTCTAGATTTTTTTTTTCTGCCCAAGATCCACCAATGACTGTCTCTTACAGTAAAGCTCATTTGATGTGACAGTTTATGATAGTAAAATGCAAATTTTAGTGTTATAAGGCCTATACAAAATTAGTTTATACTAATAAAACTTTAAATATAATAGGAGTCTTCGAACCTCTATTTGTCCATACAGGTGGACTGTAGTAGTTCCTTGACCAATCAAAATCATCATTCCGATCTTGCGATATGTCATAGTAACAAGTGCTTTCGAAGTCGCAACTGAAATCAACCTGTGGATTATTCCAAACCCATGTCGTTTGTGCTGGGATCAATTGACAGCGCAGAATCACAGAAACTAACAGAAATGCCCAATAAGCAGCAAAGATCATCTTGTCGCAGCAACAGGCTTACAACACATCAATCAGTAAAGTTTTCAACGGAATGACTTACTGTGATTTGTGACATAGGCCAACATGTTGTACCAAAATAAATAAATAAATACAATTTCCTGTTCATTAAAGTGAAAATATACAAAGTAGATTGGTCAATCATGTGATTGTATACAATATTAAGTAAACAGAAAAACAACAAAAGAACAAGTCGGGTGCAACGGACCGAAACCCAGGAACAAGCTGGTGTGTTTTCATGTCTCATTTCGAAATTAAATTTAAAATGGCGTCCTATCTGGTAACATGAAAGAACGGAAATTACGTTCAAAGAAAGGGTTATACATGGCTTTACATTGATTGAAAATTAGCCAAAATCTCATTGCCTTCTTTAAAAATATACCTTCAAGCCTATGGACTGCATATACACAGCATATTATATACACACACTGTGGGCGTTTAGCATTACTGACAATTGTTCTGGCATTATTGATGAAATAATTCTATGTGTAGTTTCAATATTTAAATTCAAGAATTTGAGAAAGGATAATCATTAATTGTGTAATAATCCATGTTGTAGCAAGGACTTTTCAACAAAATATTTTTGTTAACTGTATTTTGATAGTTTTTTTAGTATACATTATTTATTCATCACTATTATATCAAAAATAAATATTTGGTTTATTATATAATTATTATCTTTATTTTCATCATCAACATCATCATGAACTTCATTGTCGTCATTATCATTATATTATTATTATTATTATTATTATTATTATTATTATTATTATTATTATTATTATTATGTTGTTGTTATTATTATTATTATTATTATTATTATTGTTGTTGTTGTTGTTGTTGTTGTTGTCGTTTTTGTTTTTGTTTTTGTTGTTGTTGTTGTTGTCGTTGTTGTTATTATTATTATTTAGTTTATAATATTTATCAGTATTAGTAGTAGTAGTAGTAGTAGTAGTAGTAGTAGTAGTAGTAGTAGTAGTAGTAGTAGTAGTAGTAGTAGTAGTAGTAGTAGTAGTAGTAGTAGTAGTAGTAGTAGTAGTAGTAGTAGTAGTAGTAGTAGTAGTAGTAGTAGTAGTAGTAGTAGTAGTAGTAGTAGTAGTAGTAGTAGTAGTAGTAGTAGTAGTAGTAGTAGTAGTAGTAGTAGTAGTAGTAGTAGTAGTAGTAGTAGTAGTAGTAGTAGTAGTAGTAGTAGTAGTAGTAGTAGTAGTAGTAGTAGTAGTAGTAGTAGTAGTAGTAGTAGTAGTAGTAGTAGTAGTAGTAGTAGTAGTAGTAGTAGTAGTAGTAGTAGTAGTAGTAGTAGTAGTAGTAGTAGTAGTGGAGTATGTCAGTGGTTTCTCTGAGAAAGTTGGTGTTTCCAACATGAAATTGCTTCTTATCTTTATCTTATCTTTAATTTAAGTCGTGATTTGAGCATTTGAACTCCATTCAACCATTAGGAGCTTATTTTGTTGAAAATTAACGAGTCTGTAAATAGGGAGATAAGCAACCGACTCCATGTTCTATAATGGTTGGTCGGAGCATGGAGGAAATATATTAAGATATATTTCCTCCATGGTCGGAGTCAAAATGTAAATAATGTACTGATAGGCATGGTTGGTTTTCTGTAAACCTAATGGTTATTACAATGCGTTTAACATCATAGTGTCATGGAAATGAAGTTTGACTACATCTTAAGTAGGCCCTAATTAAATTATATATTGACGTCAATGTTGGTGGTATACAGTACTTTGTGAATATGTCAATATGGTCGTCATGAAAAACAATTAACGTACCATAAAAATACAAGACACAATTCAACTTTATTGTCAAAATAAAACTTATGAGATATTTGTTGTAACTTAAACTGTAGAATACTAAATATGCATGTGATATATAATTAAATATATAATTCTTAGTATAAGTAAACAAAAATTCTTAATACAATCCAATTATGAAAATGTATATGTACTACATTGAGTATCTGAAACGGTTTGTGGATATTTGTTGTTGTTTAAGCCTAACTCTGTCCAGTCTACTCAATGCTGTAGCCAGCTACGGTACTGTTTTGCTACGCCTTCGGATGTTATATTGATGTAAGGAATTAAATTGTAATGAGATTTAATGTCTGGCGTCTCATGTGTAGGTATTGGTTTTGTAAGACACGTTGAAATTGTGAGTTTAATGCGTCAGCCTTTATCTGCATTACACATTTTGTGTAGGTGTTTTAAGTGTATGCCAAGGTTTTCTGGGATTTTTTTTAAGTCGTTAAAAAATTAGAAAATACGTCTACCGCCACTGAGCGTCCACAAAAATTTACCATATGACTTATGAAAGCATCAAGGACAAAATATTTGACTTCACTTAAATACGGAAGCTACATGATAAAAACTTCAGATATGAGATGGCCATAGGCCTATATTTCAAAATCAATTATAAAATAAAGAATTAAGCCATTACGGTATGTTTGCTTATTGTTATCTTCCATATCACACTTTCGGAATTCATATGAGAAAACTATATTCCAATGTATGCTAAAATACGTAGAAATGCATTAACATAAATTTATTTTCATTATAATGAATAATATTAATGATTATCACTATTTATAATGATTAATGGTGGGTGATTGTCAGGGCATCATTAATAGTGCTTCAATAAACACACCAGGGGTAACAGAATTGAAGGATAATGATGATTATCATCATTGTTTTAACTTAATATTAAATGTATTGTTAGAATGAATAATAATAATAAAGCAATGGTACCGTTGGTGTAAGTAGTCCAAAATTACAAATTCGTTGGTAAATATTTATTATTTATTTATTACAAAACTATGTATAGAAATATATTTTTAATCATAATATATATGCCTATAAATTTACAATAGGAATAATTAATTATAAATAAAATGTTTGATAATAATTGATTTATGCATTCTACTTAAAGCTCAATTGTATTATGTTGATATATTGCAATAACATGTGCTGAAGTATTTGATTTCTAATGCTATTCTACAGTTTGCTTCTTTCATCAATTGTACACCGTACATTATAACAAAATGTAATGGTAGCACATGTCTAAAAATTCAACACTAACACTGCTGAATCTGCCTATTATTGGCCATTGTCTATTTAATCAGATTTATTAAGTCCAAATAGGTAGATAATAACTTCGTAAAATATAAACACGGATATATTTCATTAGTTTATATCAAAAATCATATAAATTAGATCTTATAAAATTAATTCTCAATAGTTGGACCGTTGTGTTGTGTGAGGGAGTACATTATTGACATCATTTTCAGAATTGATTTTCGGAACATCTTTGGGTTTGCTCCTCCGTCGCTTCCCAAGTTTAATTAGAATTATGACGAATACGATAATGACAAACGCAGGCACCACGGTTGCTATGATAATGGTTGCACTCCCAGATGTGTTATCCGACGATAAGTTTGAAGGGCAAATGGGTTAAAATTAAAACGAACAGTAGAGAAAATCCGATCAGAATGACAAAATAAACTAAGCATCCACTGGAAGGAATCCCAATATCTGCAGACGAATCCGTTTCGGCCTTCAAGGCCTCATCAGTGCAGCTGGGTACAGACCCAAACGAAACGTTCGACCAGCTTAGGTAGGGCCTAAACTAGTCCAAAGACCACTAATGATTACAGAGCCAAACCAAGGCAATATATATACACAGGCAATATATATACACAGCCCAGGTATAAATGCAAATTAATGGAATACAAGCTATGCGGCTCGGTTCCAGTAGATACAGAGAATATTTTGTCATTCTTAACGCGTCCTACAAAATTCTTACGAGACAGCACTAGTCCGTGAATTTGTGAACAAGATCGGAGATCTAAAGATGCAATCTCTACCGTGCATCAATG